TATATATATATATATATATATATATAGGTATAACACGAATTTTCTATGTGGGAACCACAACAAGTTGCCATATACCAACTTATGGGACTATCCATGCGATGTAATCCGCACCGCTCACTTATATAGCAATCTCACTCAATCCTATGTACTACGCTCGAATGAACACAGCAGCGTACACAAGCACCTACCTACTCATCCGCAACTCACAGTCAAGCGACTTGTCGTACTGGTGGTTGACCACCACATCACCGCCTTCACCCCAAACGAAAAGCCCATTGCCTTCATTTGCACTACTCTCATTGCCCACGGCAATGTAGTCAAACCCCTGTGCAACAAATGGGGCACACAAGCACTCAATCAGCAACAAATGGGACACACAAGCACCCAATCAGCAACAAATGGGACACACAAGCACCCAATCAGAACAAATGGGACACGCATGCACCCAATCAGCAACAAATGGGACACAGAAGCACCCAATCAGCAACAAATGGGACACACACGCACACAATCAGCAACAAATGGGACACACAAGCACCCAGTCAGTAACAAATGGGACACACAAGCACCCAATCAGCAACAAATGGGACACACAAGCACCCAATCAGCAACAAATGGGACACACAAGCACCCAGTCAGTAACAAATGGGACACACAAGCACCCAATCAGCAACAAATGGGACACACACGCACACAATCAGCAACAAATGGGACACACAAGCACCCAGTCAGTAACAAATGGGACACACAAGCACCCAATCAGAACAAATGGGACACACACGCACCCAATCAGCAACAAGTGGGACACACAAGCACCCAATCAGCAACAAATGGGACCCACAAGCACCCAATCAGCAACAAATGGGACACACAAGCACCCAATCAGCAACAAATGGGACACACAAGCACCCAATCAGCAACAAATGGGACACACAAGCACCCAATCAGCAACAAATGGGACACACAACCATCCAATCAGCAACAAATGGGGACACACAAGCACGGCTTACCTGTGATGCAGCAACGCCCGCAGCCACAAAGGCCACCAGCGCACTATACGGTGGTGTGATGGGGTCTACGTCAGCCTTGTCGCCTTCAGACGCTGTAGATAAGTGTGTGTGTGTGTGTAGGTGTGTGTGTATGTGTAAGTGTGTGTGTGTGTGTAAGTATGTATGTGTGTGTAAGTGTGTGTGTATGTGTAAGTGTGTGTGTGTGTGCGTAAGTGTATGTGTGTGCGTGGGTGAGTGCGCGTGAGCGTAAGTGTGTGATGTGTCTTTGAATGAGTGTGTGGAGTGTGCGTGTGTGTACGTGTGTGCGCGTGTGTGCGTGTGTGTGTAGAGGTATGTGTATTAAAATGTATGAGAATCTAAACGTGCTAGTGACTACGCACCACAGAACGACAACTGAATGTGTGCAACGTAAGCTGTGGACATTGTGTCAGCAAACGCATCCAACGTGTGACAAGAAAAAGCGCACAGCACAAACACATAACCCACGAACAGACAGAAGTGACTTGGAATGCACAGTTGAGCTGCAGATCACTCGGCTGAAGTGTGTGTGTAATGATGATTTTAGAGCCGTGAGATAAGTGTCAACAGCCAAATGAGTGCTACAGACACTGCACATTACTTAGATGGTGTCGGTTTGGCGCGTACAACACTTGTTTGACACCTCTCTAACACTTCTTCAGCACCTGTTTATACTTGTTTAGCACTGATTTAACACTTGTTGAACACTTCTTCAGCACCTGTTTATACTTGTTTAGCGCTTATTTAACATCTATTTAACACTTTTGTTTAACAAACAGTTAACCTTTATTTAACAATTGGTTGAACACTTGTTTAACAAACATTTAACATTTATTTAACACTTGTTTAACAAACATTGTACATTTATATAACAATTGATTTAATACTTATTTAATCTTTATTTAACACTTGTGTAACACTTATGTTGATGTGCTGGCGTCAGATATACCCAAGCCCCACACATCTGCGCCCTGTTGCCTTTGCGACATGATTGGTGACACCACAGCGACCGTCTCACACTACGAACAATCAGCCAAACGACAACAACGTTTGTGAAGTGCATGCATTTGTTTACCCGCAGTCCAGCAGTCACCCAAATCCAACTCAACCAGGACATGTGTGCATCCCGTGGCTGCAATTAGGGCCGACAACCTCCACGACGCCTCAAACTCACCTGGTTCACCTCCCACTACAATTGATGGTAAGACCACCGCAAGCGAAACACACGAATGCACAGGGGTGAAACAGTAGACAAGGGGGATGATACAAGCCAACGGAGGAGAGAGAGAGACTGGGAACGGACAAGTGGTTATGACAGAGGATGTGGTCAGCCACTACACACACACATATATACACATACACATATACACACATGCACACACACACACACACACACACACACACACACACACACACACTACATA